TGAATTCTACCATATCCATAATATATTTATCTATATCCATAATATATTCTATTCATAGAATAGATGATATATATTATATAATATATCATATGATATTATATATATATTATAATATATCCTATGATATTATAGCTATTATATAGATATTATACAATATATTATATGATATTATGTATATTATTTATTCTATTTTATTCTATAATATCTGTGATATTCATAGATATATTAGATAAATAGATAAATAGATGAAATAATATATTCTATCCATATCCATAATCCATGTGGGGTTTTTTTCCCTGGCTGTTTTAAATAATGAAAAGCCCTCCCTAAAAATTTTGCAAGGCTCTGTAGCAGTGTTTTTATTTCTTTATTTTGCTAAAGCTACAGTCCTTTTCCCCACTGGAACATTTCATATTCCCTTCATCTCTTTCCAGACCCAGAATATTCCCTTTGAGCCTGCTGACTTCCGCTGCTTACGAGTTTATTTTAATACCTGGAGCTCAAGATTCTCATCTTAATTTCTGGCTAAGACCAGGTCCAAGATAAAGTTTCTTCAATATCCTGTGCTCCAAAGGCTGCCACACGAGACAGCCTCACCCCGTGAACCAACCTTGGCTTCCGGAATTGTTTCCTTTGGAGGGCAGGATCAACCGGCTGCCTTGCAGGGCTTGTGTTCTCCAAGCTCTAAATGATATTTTCTTACATGTTCCTGTGCTCTCAGCTCCTCAGGCCAGCTTGTTTCTGTTTATCCATCTCCTAATGCAGATTAATACTAAACTATTAAGCTAAAAACAGCAGATTTCCAAATTGCATTTGCAGAGTACGACCAATTACATCTTTTCCTTCAGCCACGGGGGTTTATTGCGTTCTGAGAGATGCCCACACAAACTGATATATGACACTGCTTAAGTAGCATTGATTCCTTGGTTACTGTGCCATTCCTCACTCCTTCTTTCAGAAAACTCTCTGCCAATATTCTCTTTTTGCTTAGTGAGGATATTTCACCCTAGAAAATCAGACAGAATTCAAAGCTATTTCATAATCGGCTCTGGTGGCTGCCCCTTCAATGAACTGGCAATTTAAAATATTTATGGAAAGAGAAAAACTGAAAGGAGCATTCTGCTATCGATTTTTTTTCCATGTTATTCCTATGAATATTTTTTTTTATTTATAGACAAGAGAAAAAAACCAAACCAACAAAATTCCACACTATCCAAACAAAACCACATAAACTCACAGGCCCACTACCAATACTCCAGGCGTGAAATAAAAGGCAAGCTAAATAAAATCTAAATAATTGAATAAAATCTAAACCAATTGTTCAGGAGTTCAGGTAATTGCAAGAGGTAGTTGATATATTCAGATATACACCTCCATAAAATGCAGCACTGGAACTTTCTCTAGGACAGCATCTTTGTTCCCCAGTCCAAGTGACTCTCTTGCCTCAATCCCTGCATTATCATCACCAAAACATTCCTGACAACATCGACCTTCCACTGAAAATAATCCCAGCTTAGGTCAGGAAATTCCCTGCCAGTGACATTCCCACATTCCATCCTGCCTTTATTTGATTTTATTTGATTTGCCTCTACCAGAACACCAGGGAAAACACCTCACACATGCACTGACACCTTTAAGAAATTAATTCTCTAAAAGATAAAATTTCTGAAGTGCTGGAGCACAGGCAGAGCCAGCCAGGAATTCTGTGATTTCTTGAGGCTGGCCATTCTCCATCTGGATCCTCGAGTTATCCCAGGATCTCCCACTGACAGCTCAGACTGGCACAATTCTCTGCATCCTCACACTTTCCAAAATGCTGAATAACCTGAGAAATGGTTTGCTAACATGCAAATTCTCCTGGCTGCAAGGGGAAATGGAGAACTCCTTTGAATGCAGCAAATAATGCACTTTGTACTAGAAAATGCAGAAATACCGAGCCTAACTCAGCATTTTAATTCAGAAAACTTCCTGATTTACTGCTAAAATTCAAATGAATCACAGGCTTGCTTCTCTTATTTGCTTTCCATGTAGTTTCATGTTAAGTAGGATGGCACTGCTCACCAGGAGGACAAGAACACACCCTGGAAAACAGAAGTGTGTGGGAGTAAATAATTGCATTTCTTTGCATTGCTTCAAACCTTGACATCATCGTGCTGCAAAGTACACAAAGTTTCAGCAGCAGACAGTAAGAATGTGGATGTCCTTGCAGATTAATGGAAATAAAAAGAAAAGATGCCACACATTATTTGTTACCAGAATTCTCTAACATTAACAGCTCTTCATATGTCTGTAGCTTTGTTGTAGACAATTGAGGAGGGGAAGAATGCAGTTCAAACATCAGAATTTTCTCAATACTCAGGAAAAATGAGTGCAGGTCTGAACTCTTGCAAAAGAACTCGTGTTTTTTTCTTCAGCAAGTCACAGTCTTCCTGTACCTCACTCCTTTCCCCCAGGGTAAACAGGACACAGGGGAATCTTTTGTGATGATGTTTATAAAATACCCAACACCACGGTTTCCCAGGGTACTGCTGGGACACAGTTATTCACCAGGAAAGGAGGAGGAAAGAAAGGAGGAGGAGGAAAGAAAAAAGAAGGAAAGAAAGGAGGAGAAGAGAAAGAAAAAGGAAAGAAGAAGAAAAGAAAGGAAGAAGAAGAAAGGAGGAAGAAAGAAGGAGAAAAGAAAGAAGGAGGAAAGAAAGGAGGAGGAAGGAAGAAGAAGGAAAGAAAGAAGGAGGAAAGAAAGGAGAAAGAAGGAAAGAAAGGAGAAAGCAGGAAAGAAAGGAGGAGAACAGAAAGAAGAAGGAAAGAAGAAGGAAAGAAAGGAAGAAGAAGAAAGGAGGAAAGAAAGGAGGAAGAAAGAAAGAAGGAGAAAAGAAAGAAGAAGGAAAGGAGGAGGAAGGAAGAAGGAAAGAAAGGAGGAGGAAGGAAGAGTTGAAACTAAGACATTCCAAGTTGCTCACTCCTGGCCTCCCCAAACTGTAAGTGGAGTTTAAAGGCAGCTGCACATTATGTGTAGGCAGAAAAACAACTTTTAAGTTACACATTTCTTACACCCTGACCATACAAGCACATTTTTCTTCCAGAGTTCCTTGCAATTAGCAGAGTGGCTTCAAAGAAACTTTCCTTTTGGGCAAATACATAACCTATTCAGAAAACAGCACTGCCAGTAGCTTGCAAAAATAAGTTACTAAGCACAAGTAAAGAAAGAGGCAAAAGCCAGATTGAAAATCCCCTCTCCTCAGCTGTTTGCATTCATCCATCACACAGCTTCCATCTCTCCTAGCAGTGTCTGGTCTCTCACTTTCCCCTTGCATCTTCACTTCTGATCACCTCCATTCATTCTTTTCATTTCTTCACTCTCAATCTGGCTGAGCTTGGAAGAAAAATAATTCCAGGTAATGCACAACTCAACTATCAGCGGTTAAAAAGCGATTTTCTGAAGAGTGCTGGTTCCTTTAGATCAGAAACCAGCAAAAAAACAACAAATAACCCAGAGCAAACACCAAAAACTACATCTCTGCTGGGTGAGGATGACTTTCTATAAAGCTGGACTATTGAAGAGTAACAATTCTGACATCTGACCAAGAGTGGTTAGAATAAAGTTATAAACACACATTTCCTGCCAGTCAATCATTACAGAGCTAGAGAACACATTTTTACCTGAATTTTTACTCAGTCAGCATATGGGTTGTCCAAATTCTTCCTCTCTCCTTCAAGACTACAAAGTGTAATTTTCTTTGAAGCACAGCTTTCTTTTTCTCAGGAAGACAGCCTTGAAAATGTGAATTTATGCAAACTAGCAGTGAGGGCTGGACAGGCCATATTTCAGCCTCCTCTTTCCTCAGCCTCCTGCAAAAGGAGTGAGGAGGGAGCTCACACGAGCCTCTCTTCTCCCACTGTGATGCAGAACACATCACCAACAGCCTGTTTTGAATTTTTGTTTTTATTCCCCTCAAATCTCTGCTTTTAGATCTTTTAACTACAGGGTAAAGCAACCATTAAAGCTGGATGAGCAGGAAAAAATTTCCAAGCCTAGAAACAGCGATGGCCACACTGAGATGAGAGCTTCACCCAGCTCAGCTCTGCCTACAATCACTCCTGCAATCTTTGAGACAATTTCCAAGAGCTCTCTACAATTATTGATGCAAATTGTGGGTGTAATTGCTCAGACTTCTTTCCTACAGGCTTCCAGACCCTGAGCTGTGATGTGCAGCACTTTTAGGGACAGCTACAACAAAAGAAGTCTCTCCTGTCCAGAAACACAAGCTAAACAACCTGGTGGAAAAAAAAAAAAGGAGGGTGGATTATGCAGCTGTGATGGAAATTTGAGGCTGAGCCTTCATTGAACAGGAAAAACAGGACCAAGAATTATTTATTATATGATTTTNAAAAGAAAAAGAAAAAAGCACTAATCCAGGAAACTGAAGCTGGGGAAGCAGGTTTTACTGGTGGGGAACCCACCAGTCCCTGACAGCACAGGTTTGGGGAAGGGGAATGTTGTGTTTCTCTTCCTTTTCCATCCAGTGAGGCTCTTCAGCCTCGGGATGTGCTCCTCACCTGGTGAGCTTCAGTCTTTCCCAGTGGAGCCAGGTGTTTATTCCCCATCCATCCCAGCAGAAATGCCTCCCCTGCAGCATCAATCCCTGCCTTCAGCCCCACTGCCTGCTGGACTGGGGGATTTGGGATAGCAAGGAAAAGGAAAGGAGGATCATCCAGGCTGGATCTTCCCTCCAGCACTCAGTGCTGCTCTATTCTAAACTGACAGTTTGAAAATTAGAAGTTCTGTCAAGAGTTTTAAGTTTGTGATATCCAGCAAAGAGTGAAACAAAGCAAACCAAATAAAAAAAACCACCAAGATGCACAGAAAAAGTAACTTTTTTTGTACTTCATTTTTACTATTTCTTCTTTCCCCAAAGGGCAAAATAAAGTCTTTTATCAACTTCTTCTATATCTGCATTCCTTTAGAAATCAGCACATAAGGCAGTGACATCCTCAGCTATTTCTGCTCACCAGCCCCTGCAGCTCCCTGAGTACTCAGATTTCAGCCATTATAAAAATCATTTCACTATGAAAACACTTGAGCCGACCCTGTTTGCAGCCAAAATGGAAAAGCTGGAGTAAGAACTCACCAGGTTCTCCTCAAACCACTCCCTCAGACACACTGCTGTGGCCCCTGGGATTTGGTTCCTCAGTGCCTCCTTCTCCTGGGGGTCCTCCAGCATCTCCAGGGCCATCTTCAGATCTTCCAGGAGGTGCAGGATCTGGAAGGTGCCCAGGTACACGGATGGAGCGGGGGACACGATGCCATAACCACCATTAGCATACTCTGTGGCTGACTTTGTGCCTGAAAGAACACAAAATGAGGAGAGACAATGATGTAATTGCTTCATGGGTGGGAAATTAACAGGCATCACCCTCTACAATAGCTGGACTTCAGACTGGCAAGTTTCACTCTAGGCTGAAAACCTTAATTTAACCTGAATTATCCTCCAGAGAAACCACAAAATCTGGGGAACGAAATGTGAGAGGTGAGTACATGCACATCAAAAAAGAATTTTGACCTAGATGACATTTGCAATGTCCAAACCAGAAATCCCAAAGTTTGTCCCAAATCAGCTGTAATTTTCCACAGTTACCATGAGATGTCACTAACTTCTCAGCTACATCACTCAAAGTCCCCACACAGATAAGCAATGTAAGGATGACTGATGGCAGGGCTTGGACAAGAAGCTGGAATCAAAATAGATTATATTACCAGAGCTAGAAAAATATAAATGACCACGAGCAGGTTTAGAACTCTCCCATGGTGAGCAACACCACGAAAGTTAGCAATAAAAAAGGCAAATCAATCTTTCCTGGCACTAGAAATTACAAAAAGCTCTCAAAATTGCAGTGTCACTCTCCTGCCAGTCCTCCAACACCAATATTATTTATCTCAACAATAGGCACAAAACCCCCCATAACTCACTTATGGAAGAATTATAAATAATACAAACTCTAATATCTCCAAAACTTCTTGTCCTCGTACCCTGTGTGTTTCACACTAAAATAAGCTCTCTTTTCTCAGTCCTGAATTTCAGATCTTGATTTCATTTAATCTGCCTTTGTGTCTTTAAGAATCAGTCAGGTAGAAAATTTCTATTTCTTCAACTTTACAAAGTTTTTATTTACAATTCATTGCCTCCTGTACATAATAGATTGTACACACGTCTTCATTCATGTTCTCTCTGGCATAAACAATCATAATTCTTCTTCCTGTTTGACTGAATAGGAAATTTTCTTAGGTTTTTGATCATTCACATTGTACTGGCTCCACACACATTTAGCATTCATTAGAAAACTATAAATTGATGTACACAAGGGGAATTTAATAATCTCCTTGCTGTTATTCCTTTTACTCCTGCATTTAACACAGTTTAGCACATTAGTAAAGAAAGGAGCAAAAAAGCTTCACTGGATCTTGGAAAATAATCCAGGTTTATTTTTCCCCTGAGCAGATGTATCTAATGTGATGCACAAATGTACAAGGAATTCAGATTTTCTCCTTGAATTCACACTGCCTCCCATTAATCAGTGTTAGTTTGCCTGCTGTGGTCGTTTATCTACCATGATCTGGGCATTGCAAACTGTGTTTGAAGCCAGTGTTTCATTTCACATCCCATGAATTCACC